GACTCTTTAATGACGTTACCCTAATGCTTAAAGTAAAATTTGGGCCGTTACATATTCTATCTTATTGCATTGGAATACTTAAAGGCTGTTGAAGATCGACAAGCCACTTGCTAGCACTATTATGGCTGAATTGACAACAATGAAATATAATGGCCACCGAGGAGTTTAGGATCACATCCTTAATACGGCGAGAAAGTTGCAAAGCTTAAAACTTTAGGGATACAAGTTGATAAAACTTTCTTCATGCAGTTCATTCTCACCTAACTTCCATCACAATTCAGCGCATTCATAATTCACTATAACACCAATAAAGATAAATGGAGTTTGAATGAGCTGACTAATATGTGTGTTCATGAGGAAGTGAGGTAGAGGGAGGAAGGACGTCAAACTGCATTGGCTGTAACTCATGGAACTATAAAGGAAAAGAAGGGTAATTTTGTAAAATCAAAGAAAAATCCACGCAAGAAAAAGAATGGGCCTGGGGAAGAAAATCAAGCTTAAAATGGTTTCATTATCAAGTGCTACTTTTATGGCAAGAAGGGACACGTGAAGAAAGACTGTAGCAAGCGAAAGGCTTGGTTCGAAAAGAAATGTAAGAAATTTTCTTTTGTTTGTTATGAATCAAATCTTGCTGAAGTACCTTCCAACACTTGGTGGATTGACTCTGGGGCCACGACCCACATTACAAATTCCATGCAAGGATACCTCTCAACTAGAAAATCAAACGAAAGTGAAAGATTTGTCTATATGGGGAACCGTCTCAAAGCTGAAGTTATAGTTGTAGGAACCTATCGATTGATCTTAGAGACGGGTCATCAAATGGATCTAGAAGACACTTTTTATGTTCCTTCAATTTCTAGGAATTTAGTTTCGTTATCCAAATTAGATCCTATTGTATATTCAGCTTTATTTAGTTGTGGAAAACTCAATTTAATGTTTAATTCAATAATAATTGGTTCTGGTAATTTATGTGATGGCTTATATAAAATTACCTTAAATCATGAATTTGCACAATCATTAATAACTCTACATTCGAATATTGGTTTAAAACGTGGTCTAATTAATGATAAATCCTCAATCTTGTGGCATAGACTGTTGGGGCATATCATTGAAAAATTAGTGAAGAATGGGATTTTAGAAAACCTAGATTTTATTGATTTTGAGATAAGTGTGGATTGCATTAAAGGAAAGCAAACCAAACACACCAAGAAAGGTGCCACAAGAAGTAATAAGCTTCTTGAGATAATGCATACAGATATTTGCGGGCCACTCAACATCCCATGTCTTAGTGGTGAAAAATATTTTGATCACATTTATAGATGACTTCTCACGTTATGGATATGTATATCTAATTCATGAAAAATCTCAGGCTATTGACATCCTTGAGGTGTACATAACTGAAGTTGAGAGACAATTAGATAAAAAATTAAAATAGTGAGATCAGACAGGGGTAGTGAGTATTATGGTAAATATGATGAGTCAGGCCAAAATCCTGGCCCATTGGCCAAATTCTTAGAAAAAAAATGCATTCGTGCTCAATATACAATGCCTAGTACGCCACAGCAGGATGGAGCTGCTGAAAGGCGTAATCGTACACTTAAAGATATGGTTAGGAGTATGTTAAGTTAATTGTACCCATTTCACTGTGGGGTGAAACTTTAAAGACTGCAATATATATCTTAAATAGAGTTCCTAGTAAGGCGGTCTCAACAACTCCTTTTGAGTTGTGGACTAGTAGGAAACCTAGTTTGAAACACTTACATATTTGGAGTTGTCTAGCAAAGGCAAGAATCTTCATCCCACAAGAGAAAAAGTTTGACTCAAAAACAATATCTGGATATTTCATTGGTTATCCAGACAAGTCAAAAGGGTACAAATTTTATTGTCCTAATCACAGTACGAGGATAGTGGAGACTAGTAATGCTAGATTCCTAGAGAATGGTGAAATTAGTGGGACTGAGAAAACACGAGTGGTGAATTTCGAAGAAATTAGGGTGGATGTGCCAACATTTTACCCTTATCGAAAAATTGTTGTTCCTCAGACTATTCCACAGGCTGAGGAAAACGAACAACATAGTGAAAATCCTTCACCACCTCATGTTTCACCACTTCATGAAGATACCACCATTGAAAACATTAGAACCACCACAACCGGCAGTTCTGAGAAGATCTCAGAGGGAAAGAAAGCCTACCATTCCAAATGATTACATGGTGTATCTACAGGAATCTGATTTTGATATTGGGATTAACAAAGATCCAGTCTCATTTTCACAGGCCATGAATAGTGATGATTTCACTAAATGGGTTAATGCTATAAATGAAGAGTTAAAATCCATGGAACAGAATGGTGTTTGGGATCTCGTCGAATTGCCTAATAATTGTAAAAAGGTCCGGTGTAAATGGGTTTTCAAGACCAAGTGCGACGCAAAAGGCAATATCGAATGATTTAAAGCCAGACTTGTTGCCAAGGGTTTTACTTTAAAAAAAAAAAAAAAGGCATAGACTATACATAGACCTTTTCTCCAGTATCTAAGAAGGACTCACTTAGAATTATCCTAGCATTGGTAGCTCATTATGACTTAGAGTTGCATCAAATGGATGTGAAAACTGTTTTTCTGAATGGGAATTTGAATGAAGAAATTTATATGGAGCAGCCAGAAGGATTTGTAAAGAAAGGTAAAAAAAATGTAGCTTGCAAATCAAAGAAATCCATATATGGCCTTAAACAAGTTTCCAGAAAATGGTATTTAAGGTTTAATAATACCATTAACTCCTTCGGATTTAAGGAAAATACAGCTGATCAGTGCATATATCTGAAGGTTAGTGGGAGTAAGTTTATTATTTTAGTGCTATATGTGGATGACATTTTGTTAGCTAGTAATGACCTTGGCTTATTGCATGAAACCAAGTAATATCTCTCCAAGAACTTTAAAATGGTAGATATGGGTGAGGCACACTATGTTATTGGCATAGAGATCTTTAGGAATCAATCTCGAGGATTGCTAGGACTATCTCAGAAAGGATATATTGATCGTGTTTTGAAGAGATTCAATATGCAGTTTTGTTCAACTGGTGATGCATCTATCATGAAGGGTGATAAATTAAGTGAAAAATAATGTCCAAGGAATGACTTGGACAGAAAACGAATGAAGGACATTCCATATGCTTTGAGGCTACAAATCATGCTTTATGGTTGCAAAATTTCATCTCAAAACTTGGTGTTGTTGACTTAATCACCAGGTCGCTGAAGATATATTGTGACAATACCGCAGCAGTTTTCTTCTCTAAGAATGGAAAGTACTCCAGTGGTTCCAAACACATGGAAGTAAAGTACTTAGTTGTTAGAGAAAGAGTCTAGAAACAACAAGTGTTAATTGAAAACTTAAGCACATCTCTTATGATTGCTAATCCATTCACAAAGGGATTGCCACCAAAGACATACAAAGAGCATGTTATCAGGATGGGTCTTTTAAGCAACCCTTGATGTGTATGGTTAATAGTGAGTGCTTATTTTTATTTGACACTATTTGCACAATAATAATTTTGTTTCTGTTTTTCCTATTCTAAAAGTGTGTGTATACATTAATTTAAATATTGATAAACGAGAAATGTCTTAACAAAACAAATTACAAGGGCATTTTAGGCAAATAATTACATATCCCAATAATGGACTGGGTTAGTGAAGGTTATCGATCGTGTGGTGCATAGAATGGAATATGACATAAATGTTATATAACCGCTGTGACTCACATTGGTGATCTGAAGTAATCACAGTATTATAGTTTTTAATATATTTGAACTTATTGGCTATTTTTAAAATTCATGATCACGTGTCAAAGTTTTAGTATACAATCCAATGAGTCAATTTTTTTTTTTTTTATAAGTTGCATATTTTTTGGAAAAACTTGTAATTGCATCATAATCGGTTTAATGGGCCAAGTGGGAGAATGTTGGATTTATTTTCTAGTGTGGCCCAATAGCCTATATATATCTACATGTTTTAATTTATTTTGACTCCACAATTAGATAAAGACAATATTTGATATAAAGTTCAGTAATTAGAATTTTAATATAATTACTCTTTTAAGATAAGAAAGAAACCTTGATGATAAAAATTTTTCTGATAGAATTTATCTGGCCCTCTTCTTTCCTCTATATAAGGATGGATGACTCCTCTTTCATATCATGAGTATTTTTCTATCACTCTAAGTTTTATAGTCATCGTAATTAAGAGAGACAAAGAGAAGAAGGTGAGCCAAGAATTAAAGGTTCAACTATTAGGAGTATTTTCTCAACTTCTCTAATTCAATGGTTGATAAAGGTATATTCGTTTTATTCTTGAGTTATATTGAATTCAAGATCCTGTAAAGTTTAATTCTGCATTATTATTATGGTTACATGTATTATTAAATCTTATAGCTATTGATATAAAAAGCGCCATCAAACCTATCAGGAGCTTTCTGGGCAAGTAAACATGAAAATCCATGGCTTGGTGTCGAGAGGTGAGAATGGAAAGGAACATGAGCACTGTTGTGAGTGAAAAGCAAAGCGCCACGAGTGATGAGATGGCAAACACCTCAAACATGGCCTCTCGTTTTAGAACTGGTTCCCCGAGGACTCCGCCAATGCCACCTGGCAAACTAGCTGATGTGGCAAAGGCGACGGTTGCAATGAGTGATGCAACAATGGTGCAAGAGTTCGAGGTTTTCATTAGCCAGTCGGCATCATTTTGCACTAGGTCAGCATGTGTGTCCATAAAAACTTGGTCTGGGTCCATGCCCTCCTTATTTTGGTGAGCCAACATACTTTTTGGCAAATGTTCCTTAATAAACTACAAGAGACATTAGGCAAATCTATGTGTTTGTTTGGGTTAATTTAAAAAAGTGCACTTTTTTTTACATATATATTTTTATTTGAGTCACATCAATTAATATCTATCAACATCTCCTCTCTTCTTTTCTAACAACTTTCTCTACTTTTCTGCACTTTTTTTTTTTATTTATATAAAAAGTCAAAAAGTACACTTATTTAAAACATCTCAAATTACCCCATACATTCATAATATTGTATGCTTTTAGGAATTGACTAGAATATTTTTTCTATTAGTTTTGAATTTGTTGATTGTTGGAGTATGACTTGTTTATCTCGTACCACTTGATTTCCCATTGCATTCGAAGAACAGCATTTGGTGCAAACAAGGGCAGATAAATTTTGACCATTGCAGCATGATGCAATGCATTGTTTCGGACATTATCATTGTGGTGTAACAAATCTTTTGTGACATTGGGACGCATCAACTCCTTATAAACCATAATTTTCCTGTTTTCCAATGCTAGGAGCATCACATTCTTTCCCTCTGGGATTGTATCATATATGGCCACAGGAAGATAATTGAGGATTTGGCTAACCATTTCACTGATACCATTCTTTGCTGCAATTAGTATTGGTGTTCCTGCAACCCAAAAAAATCACAACACGTAATTTCTGTGATTATTTTTTACGATTGAAGTCAACGGAATAAAGGTCATGGGACTAGTCACTCTAGTTCACCCTCAACTAACGAGACATCAAAAGATCAATTATATGTAAGCAAAAAATTGATTATATTTTCCGATTAGGTAAAAACAAAAGCAAACAAACAAAAAAAGTCATGGGATTGAATGCCTCCTGAATTCTACAATTCAATTTTTTGAAATAATTATTTTGTTATAAAACAAGCGATGCTCTAGCATTTGGAAAATAGGCATTTAAAAAAAATTAAAAAAAAAAAGCTTTGTATTCAAAAACAAGAAATATTGAATTTATTGTATAATTTTATGACTTGAGATATATTATTTCATACAGTCCTGTTATGTATTAGTACTGGTCTTTCATTAGAAGGTTGGATTCTGAATGTTAGAGCTTTTTAACCAATAATAATAATAAGCTCTATTGAAAAGTGAGAGCAAAGGGGACAAGAAATACCTTGCTATTCTTTGTTCTTTTGACTGCTTTCCAAGGAAACTTGGCTAGCTGGCACCAAATTTTAGTAACATTGCCGCATCAATGACACGATTATAGTCTATGAAGCACGGATATTCTAAAATGGCTCCGTACGCGTATCTGATACGTATACGTATCAGATACGAAAAAAAAGTAACTTTTTTTTTTTAATTTTTGAATTTCGGATATGTTTGGGATACGCGAGGATACAGTCGGGATACTTTTGGATACGACAGGGCAAAAAAATAATTTCAAAAACTTAAAATGGGGGTCAAAGTGTAAAATATCAAAATAAGGTAAATAAAATAAAACAAAAATTAATCAACCAAACTTACCTAGGTCGAACAGCAGTGGCGAAGGAGGAGTTTGTTGTCATCTCTCGCTCAGGTTCGTCAATCAGGTTCGCGAACAGCAGCTCGACGCTCGTCGATCACGATCTGGTTTGTCCCTCCCTCTCTCCCTTTTACTCCCTCTCTGTCTCCCTCTCGCTCTCTCTCTCTCTCTCTCTCTCCCGCTCGATCTATCTGGTCTGGAGATGGATAGGAAGCACGAACATCATGATCATCCCCTAGATTATCATCCCAGCATCGTCGAGAGATGAAGAGTGACAGAGAGTCTGAAACAAACATGGGTGTTGAGAGATGAAGGTAGACACGGACAGAGAGAGGAAGAACAAAGGGGAGAACAAAAGTCAAGAAGGTAAAGTCAAATAAGATATAAAAAAAAAGGAACTTTGTTTATTTATTAATATATAAATAAAATAAGTTTATTTATTTTATTAATAACTTATTAATAAAATAAGATAAATAAGTTTATTTATTTTAAATAAATCAAAATAAGTTTATTTATTTTATTAATAACTTATTCATAAAATAATAACTTAACATAAATAAGATATAAATAAATAAACTTAAGCATCTTTCACATCTATGAGATGCTTAAGTTTACCTGTATGATAAAACAAAATAAATCAAATAAGGTAAAAAACTTATTAAATAAATAAATAAACTTATTAATGAACTTGTAAACTTATAAACTCATAAACTCTGTCTCGTCTAGATAAATAAATAAATAAACTTATTGATAAATAAAAGAACTTTGTAAATTTTTTTCCTCTTAATTTGAATTGTATTATAGTTGTTATGGGTGATGCTATATTGTTGAAATTATTGAAATTTAATTGAATTGATGATGGTTTACTAAAAATTGTTGAAGTTTTATTTTTATGTAGGCTATATTACTAAAAATTATAAAAATAACATTTTTTATGAACGTATTCCCGTCGTATCCATATCCTACTTTTTTAAATTTTGTCGTATCGCTGTATCCGTATCATATCGTACCCGTATCCCGTATCCGGATCCATGCTTCCTAGATTATAGTTGTGCCAAAAAAAAAATCTAGACGAGACAGAAAAGGAACAACTAACTGGGACAAAGATTACCTTTTTTTTCTTGTTGATTTTAGCTCTCAATCCAGATTCTAGTGATCTCCAAAATGTTGGCACTCTCAGCGTCCGATGTGGGTTTGCCTCCAGTATTTGTATAACAAAAATGATTTGGACCCCCAATTTTTCAAACCCCCATGACCCCCAGTGTTTTCTTATTGGCTGGGATTTTTTTTTTTTTTTTTTTTTTTTTCTTTTCTCCACTCCTAGACGAGACAGAAAAGGAACAACTAACTGGGACAAAGATTACCTTTTTTTTCTTGTTGATTTTAGCTCTCATTCCAGATTCTAGTGATCTCCAAAATGTTGGCACTCTCAGCGTCCGATGTGGGTTTGCCTCCAGTATTTGTATAATTACATAGCAAAACTTCGCGAAGAAGCACGTTCATGAGCTTAATAGAACTCCGATGCTTTTCTTTCATTTCTAGAATCACCACTATTTTTTTCAGGACAAAATTTATTATCTTCCCAACTCCAGCTCCTAACCAAATAGAGTAATAATTTAACAGTGAATGATAGTATATTATGATAATTAGAGTAAATTTACTCATGGGATTTATATATTCTTAATTTACAAATTAAATGACAAACTCTTGTATGAAAATGGCATAGCAGCAATAGAGAAAATGAGTAGATATTGTTCTAATAAATGAAATTATTGAATCTACAAGAAAACAACCTAGAATCGATGAGGAAAATATGATTATTCTTGGAAATATTATTGATTGAATGATTATCCTTACTTTCACATGTGATCTCAATTTTGACTCTTGCCCCCCACAATAGAAAATTAAAAAATTTAGACTATTGAAAACTAAATATAAAAGTCTAATCTGCAAATAATATAAATATAAAAATTTCTAAACACTTATCCTGCATCAACAAAAAAAAAAAAAATGCAAATTCTTGTATGGAATAAGACAGCATGATAAATTTTTTTCATATGCCTAGACAGACAGATAGCCTACTACCATGTCAATTAAATAGACCCACAAAAAAATAAAAAATAAAAAATAAAAATTGATAATGCATTTATGCAGTTCTCTAAGAGTATCCAACAATTACTCTGGATACATGCACGCAAACACACTCGACCACTTCCTTCCCTATCTACCCCTCCTCTGATGTATGTATGTACTTACTTTTTGAATGAGTCATAAGTAGGAATGGCAACGAGCCGGGATGAGGCTGAGGATTGCACTCCCCATCCCCGATCTCGAAAGTATGAAATTCTCCGTTCTCGTTCTCGTTCCCGTTCTCTCAAGCTCTGGTGCAATGAGCTTGAGAGAGAGAAAGAGAGAAAGACAGATCTGAGATAAGAGAGAGGAGAGGTGGGTTGGGATTATTAGATCTAAGATGTGAGAGAGAGAGAGAGAGAGAGAGAGATGAGTATATATAGTGGGTAGGTGAGTGAGTGAGAGAGAGGAAAGAGAGGCGGGGCAGAAACGAGATGGGAACGGAGATGGGGCCTGGGCGGAAGAACTTATCACCATCCCTAACCCGAAAATTATCAGGGTTTCTTTTTTGAATACCATCTCGACTTATCGGGAGTATTTTTGGGGAAAAACCGTGCTAATCAGGGTCGGGAGATCGGGTCCCCATCGAGCTGGGTTCAAATTGCCATCCCTAGTCATAACTTTCTTCACCCTCAAAATCTTTTCTAGTACACCTTGCAAAAATAAATAAAACAACATAAAATTTAGGTCTCGTTTGGGAACAAACTTTTTTAGTATTTTTTTGACTTTTTGACTAAAATATGATGGAAAAAAACTAGTATTTTTAGGATAAATTTTTAATTTTTTACGAAAAGATGTGCAAAAAGTTATAGAGAAAAGAGAATTTTTGACTTTTTGGTATAAGTTGTTGGTTTTTTAATTTTTTTAGAAACTTTTGATTTTTAGGTTAAAAAGTGATGAGGCCTTAAATGCTTATTAGTATGCTCCGATCCAATGGTAAACTAGTAATATCAACTAGTATGCCCCAATCCAATGGTAAAATAGTTATCAACTATTGGGGGGGGAGGGGGGAAAGATTGATTAACTAGTGTCCATTGATTAGGATTTGAGTAGTGCTTTGGCAAGGATGCTTACTGAGAGGGTAATTTGTAAACAAATTGGGCTGAGCTAGGAAAAGTCTTCTTTGGAAGTTGGGCCGCACAATGGGCTGAGATAAGGGCTAGTGTAGCTCGGTCTTAGGCCAAGAAGACATCTCATATTACAAATTTGGGCCGAACTATGGGCCGAGGTGTTTGGGTTTCGCAAGTTGGACCTCGTCCTTGTTAGTTCGGTTGGAGACTGCTGCAGTTAGCTCGGTCTAAACAGACAAAACTGAGGTATCAGTGGGGGGAGAACCGAGCTAAAGGATAGCTCTGCAGGGCATCATCTCAGAGTCAAGACTGATAGTGGTGTTTAAAGTATCACCGAGCCGAAATAACCTGGTTGACTACAATGTCAGCCAAGGTAAAGATGACAGTCGAAGTAAAGAAAGTTCTGTAGCAAACCGAGGTAACATCAATGGCGATGGCTGAGCTATGTATAGCTCGGCAAGGTGGCATTCGATAGATTGGCTTTCGATCACACGGTCCGAATGGCAGGGGACTGAGATAAGGCAGTTCGGTCAAAAATGTATAACCGTGGTAAAGGGTTCAGCCATCTCACTTGGCTTGCAGTGATGAGACTCCTAGTGGGACTCTGCTAAGGAGAGTTAGAGTCCTACTGGGATTGTGTAAACCATCTCATTTGGTTGGTAGTGAGTAGGAGTATGACTCCTAGGAGGACTCTGCTAAGGAGAGTAGAGTCCTACTAGGATTGTGCAAACCATCTCACTTGGTTGGTAAGTAGGGTGTGTGATTCCTAGGAGGACTCTCATAGGGAGAGTTGGAATCCTACTAGGATTGTGCCAAAATAAAGTCTATAAAAGCTCATGGCCAGACTTATGTACAGGTATCCCAATTCTTATTCTAGAATACACAAAGCTTATTGTCTATTGTCTAGTTGCTGACTTAGGCATCAGAGGGGTTTCCAGCACACACCCGCCGGTTAGCTCACGTTTGTGTTTTCAGGTGGCAAAGCAATGTTGTTTGGAAGACTGCAAACTTGATCAACAGGATCATACGAGAAGAATTATTTCGTGCTCGTACAATTGGCGCTGTCTGTGGGAATTTCACAAAGAGCGAAACCTCTTGATCAAGTTTTCCTCTCTAGTTGAAAGCAATAGCGCACAATGAAGACTTGCCACAATCTGTTATTGATGAGCCAACACCGGAAGAGGGTGGGAGGCGCGAAAGTTTACCTTCTATCCCACCCATGGTGGAATTAGATCCCCAGCGAAAGAATCTGCGGAGAGAAGCAAGAGAAAGACAGGGCTCAAGTCCTCACCGCTCTCAAAGCCCTGATAGACAGAGGCGGAAGATGGATCCTCAGGTTCTTGAAGATCGCGTAAGGGAGCAAGACAAAGTAATAAGAAGAATGACGATTGACATAGAGTCTATGAAGAGCCAGATAAAAGGCAAAGGGAAGAAAAAAGGAGTCGAAGACAGAGGAGCAGGATTCGAAGCAGAGAAAGTCAAAGAAGATGAAGACAGAGAAGGAAGATTCGAAGAAAAAGAAGGGTAGTAAAGAAGAAAGACGAGTTAAAAGACGGACTTCTCAAGATGATGATGATGGTTCTGAGTCGGAGGAAGAACAATTGCGTGACCAAAGAGCGGGATGCAGCACCAACAAGGAAGCTAGCTGAGCCAAAATTAACACAAAGGGATAAAGAAGAAGCTGTTCAGAGATCTAATGCTTTGGAGGAAGATGACATTGGAGCTATAAGGAAAGTTTCAAGGCAAGAGTATTTGAAGAAACTGAAGGAGCTTAGAGATGATATAGAAGACGAGCAGTATCTATTTGATGGTGTAAAATTGACTGAAGCAGAATATCGTGAACTTAGTTGAGGGATTCAATGACAATGATGCTGCCCCTTACTTGGAAGCCCTGATGGAGAGAGTGCACTAACACATCAGGGTAGAGGAAGATGGGGCGCGCACCAAGGCAGAGTCTGGCACAACAGCGATGTCGGACAAAACACCTTCGGCAAAAGATAACACGGTTGACAAGTAGGACCGACCGCGCAAAAATCTTTGCCCAACTAGGGGCAAAGTGGGTTGGCAGGTTTGACCAACTTTTTCTGAAAAGTCTTTGCCCGACTGGGGGGCAACAGAAGAGGTTAGCTGGAAAAACTAGCACTTCTCCTAAGCCCATGA